CTCATCCTCTCCATAGAGGCAGGAAGAAGAGGAGATCCAGAAGAAGAGGAGATTTAGAAGAAGGATGAAAAGATAAGAAGATTTATATTTAATAGATATAGAATATATTGTATTTGTTAGTGTTGAAATTATTACCGAAATATAAGAGAATTTTGAGTATAGAATAAATGGGCATAGATGACTGGGGAAGGTGGGTGTCTGGGGTCTACAAAGGGAAGGCTCTTCCTGCCCCCCCCCCCGCTTGGAAGCCCAAAGCAGTGGGGAGGAGAGAATCTCCTGAAGATGGGCAAGGGGGCCCTCATACACAGTTGTGGTGGGGAATATGGGGGGTAGGGTGAAATTGATTTGGGTGGTTGTTATTGTCTTATTGGAGTGTTTATTTTATCACATTTGGAGACCAAAAAGAACATTTACTGTATTGAAATAATGGGAAAAACACTGAAGATTGTGTCTTGGAGTGAAAATGGCTTGGGAGAAAAACACAAATGAAAAATCTTTATATAAAGAAAAAGCAGACATATTTTTTACAAGAAATGCATCAAAAGAAAGATGGAGTAAATGAACTAAAACTACACTGGGCAGACGTATATGAGAAATCATATGGTAGTTCAAAAGCTAAAGGTGTTGCAATTATTCTTGCCAAAAGATGTGAATTTAAAATAAAAGCTGCAAAAAAGGGGAGATTTGGGGAGATTTCTATCACTACAAGTTCTAATGTATGGACAAGAGGTGACGTTAGCTAATATATATGCACCTAATATAAATCAAAGGGAGTTCTACAATAAGGTATATAAAGAAATAGAAGAATTTAAAAAAGGATATGTGATAATGGCAGATGATTATAATATGGTTATCGATAAAGAAAAAGATAAATCTCACCCATCAAAGTCAGTTAAAAAATATAAGAATACAGATTTAAGTAGATTTATTAAGGAAAACAGATTTAAAGATGTTTGGAGGGAATTAAATGGGGAACAGAAAAGTTATACATTTTATTCAAATAGACATAAAAATTTCACAAAGACCATATATTTGTAACTTCAGAAATATTGTCCAAGATAGTTAAGGCAGATATAAAAGTAATTAAAATATCAGACCATGCAATGATAACAATGGAAATAAAATGTGATTATAGTCAGGCAAATAGATGGAGGATAGATTTAAGGATTTTTAAAAATGAAAAGATTTTAGAAAAAATGGAAAAAGAATTAAAAGAACTATGGGAAATAAATGAAAAAGGAGGTAGTAATACAAGTGTAATATGGGATACAATGAAAGCAATGGTAAGAGGGTTAGGAATAAAATATTCACATAATTTAAAAAACAAAAAGAGCAACATATAATGAGAAGAAATTAAAGAATTAGAAAAAGAATATATTAAAAGTAGAGAAGACAAAATTATGTTAGAATTAACAGCAAAAAGAAAAGAAATACAAAATATTGAATTAGAACAAGTTCAAAGAAATCCAATTTACTTGAAAAGGGAATTTTATGAAAATTAATAAAAATTCCAAAATGCTGGTCAGAGCCACACAAGCCAAAAATGCAAAAAAAATAATTGGAGTAATAAAGAATGAAAAAGGGGAAAGATGTAATAAGATGAAAGAAAAACTTTCAATTTTCCAAAGGTTTTTTGATAAATTATATTAGAGAAATGAAATAGATTTGAAAGAAAGCCAAAAATATAGAAAAGAATTTAAAGTGTAAAATTTGAGAAGAGGATAAAGAAATTATGGAAACTCAAATAGAAGAAGAAGAGATATTGGAAGTTATTAGTAAATTAAAAATGGGTAAAGCACCAGGATCTGATGGATTGGGTGCTGAATATTATAAAAATTTAAAACATTATTAGTCCCCAAAATGAAAATGATGTTTAATAAAATAATGGAAGGGGAAACAATTCCAAGCACTTGGATTCAATCCATGGTGGTATTGATAGCAAAACCTTACAAAGACCTTACAAATCCTGGATCTTATAGACCACTATCTCTTATTAATCAAGATGCTAAGATTTTTACAGTGATATTGGTAAATAGATTGAATAAATTTATAGATAAATATATAAGGAATGATCAATGTGGGTTTATAAGAGGTTGACAAATGTCAGATGTGGTAAGGAGAGTATTAAATATTAACTATTATATTGAGAAAAAAAATATTAAGTCAAGTATAGTAGCATTAGATATAATTAAAGCCTTTGACTGTGTGGAATGGCCAACAATGAAGATTTTAATAGAGAAGGTGGGATTTGGATTAAGTTTAAGAAAGTAATAAATCAATTATATTCAGAAAATACGGCAAAATAATTGTAAATGATGGTATTACAGAAACAATAATCCTAAACTGAGGGACAAGACAGGGTTGTCCTTTATTCCCAATATTATTTGCTTTAATGATGGAAGTATTGGCAAATGCAATTAGGAATGATCCACAGAAAGAAGGAATTGGAGTACGTCGGAAAATTAAAATTAATTTGTTTGCAGATTACACATTGCTAACATTTCAAGATCCAATACATATTATAGAGAGAATATATTTACATTTAAAGGAATTTGGGAAATGTAGTGGATTGCAAGTTAATTGGGAAAAATCCAAAATGATGTTATATAATCATAATAGTGAAGAAGTAGATATAGTAAAAGAAAAATATAAATTAAAAATAGTAGACAATATTAGATACTTAGGAATCAATATTCCAAAAGATAGTCAAGAATTAAAGAAGAAAAATTATGAAAAGTTAAAGAAGGATATAAAAGATAAAATAGGGAAACATAAAAAGGTAAAATTATCGTGGTTTGGAAGAATAGCAGTAACAAAAATGAAAATTCTGCCAAAGATTAATTTTTTGTTTTGGATGATCCCAATCAGGTTTTATGATCATGAATTAAAGGAAATGCAGACATTTATGGAGGTTTATTGTAATGGAGGAAAGAGAACAAGAATAGGTAAAGTACTATGGTATGTATCACAAAAAAAAGGAGGGCTGGGCATTCCAGATGTTAAAAAGCATTGGGTTGCAAACCAATTAAAGATAGTTCCAGATATTATAGCCCAAAATAAAGAATTAATATGGAGTGATATCAAATTAAAAGAATTAAGGGAAATAGGTGATCGTTTAGAGACATATTGGTTTTAAAAGGATATTAAAATATTATTAAAAGAATTCAAAATCCCTTTTTAAAAAATACGATGGAAGTATGGGAAAAATGGAGACAACAGTTAATCCCAGGAATTTCTCCATTAACACCAGTGGTTGAAATGGAAAAATTCCCAATAATGGAATTGAAGGATTGGAAAACTAAATTAAAAAATAACCATATATATAGATGGGAAGACTGGAAAAATAAGATAAAAATATATTACAATTGAGGAGAATATTGCCAGAAGTTAAATTAAATTGGTTAAATTTAATTCAACTAGAAAAATGGATAAAGATGGAGGATAAATTTAAAGAGGAAGAAAGGCAATTAACAAAATTTGAAATGATCATAAAAGAATGTGAGACTGAGGAAGAATATACAAGTAAGGGAAGAATTGCCAAAATCTATAGGATATTAATGGAATAAGGGGATCAGACCAAAAGTTTAAAATCAATTTGGGAAATAGATGTAGGTGAAATAAAAGACAAGGATTGGAAGAATATTTGGAACAGAAGAGTATACAAGAATATGTCAGTTAGAATTAAGGAGCATGGATATAAGGCGATATGGAGATGGTATTTAACACAAGTTAAATCAAATTGATGACAAATATTCTAATATACGTTGGAGATGTGGTAAAGAGATCAGAACTTATAAATATATGTGGTGGGCTTGTGAAAACATACCAAAGATTTGGATTATGGTATTTAAAGAAATTGGAGAAATTTTAGATATAGACTTAGAAATGTCACCAAGAATGGTGTTATTACTGTTGATAGAAAAACAAGATATAAGTGAAGCTAAGCAAGAATTGATTGTAAGTATGATACTAGCAGTTAGGCTAGTGATAGTTAAATATTGGAAACAGAATTGGGTTTTGCAAAGGCATGAATGGTATAATGAAATATGAAACATGGTAATTAATGATTAACTGATGACAGAAATAAAAATTAAAAGAGGGTTAATGAAAGCAAATAAATATAATGAAATCTGGGAAGATTTTGTAAAAGCAGTACTGATAGAAGACAAAGGCTGTAAACCCAGTCAAGATTATATGAACTTCTGGAGGGGATATGGAAATAATTGAAGTATATTATATATTATTAATTGTTATGGTATGTGAATGGTGGTAGCATTGGTCTCTGGGGTGGTGGGGGCACTTTTTCATTTACCTTTTATTATTGTGTTTTTATGTTATATTATTGTTATGATGTATTTATGGATTGTTTTTTTTTTTTGTCTAAAATAAAAAATAAAAAGTGTGTGGGGGGGAGCCCAGTTCTGCAGATTAAGTGTGTGCTTGTGCTCATGCTGCCAAACTGGGATCCATTTCCATTTCCTCCATTTGGGATGAAACTGTCAACACCCCTCCCTGCACAAGCGTCTCCTAGGCATGTCATGAGTTTAGCCGGGGGTCAGACTAGATGCCCAGGAGACCCCTTCGGACTCGCTCTGTTTCTGTGTTTCTACATTTCCAGCTTCCTAGACCCTTGAAGGTACTATCTATTTCATGCTGGTACTCTGCAGGTTTTTAATGGTGTTGTGTGAAGAGATTCATCATGCTGTGCATCTGTGTCTGGATTTTTCAAGCTGTTTTGCAGCCAGAGGCAACTGGAGCTGAGCACTTGGGGTGGAGGGGTGGGGGTGGCTTGCAATCCAGAGAGAGTCTTAAATCAGGATGTTCAAAGGGAAAGTGGAGGTAGGTTTTCACAACACTGGAATTATATTTTCAGCCCTGAATTTGAGGTACATGTTCTGCTGCCTTTAGGAAGTACTCTGTGTGTGTGTGTTAAAATAATAATTCTGTACAGTAATTGTATTTGATTGCAAAGAAAAAACAAAAAAGACTCTTTATTTTAGGTGCACACTGGCAGTAAAGAATGAGCCCATCTCCCACCAGGACCAGCTGCTGAACCCATGCGGAGCATGTTTATATGTCCAGCTTTTTTGCACTTATTAGTTGTAGAAAAACATCACAGCAAAAAGCATTCTGTTACTTTTGTACAAGGTAATCTTGACCTACATTTCTGGTGTCTCACCCTCTGGCTCCAGGCTGATCTTTTACACATTCTAACCTTGCTGGCAGAGATTTATTTTATACTTTCAACTCTCTTATGACTCTCTGATAGAACCCTGCATAACTGACCCCTGGTTGTTTGGTTCTTGGGAGGAAAAAAAATAGTATTCTTCCATCTGTTTTTGTCTTGCTTTTCTGGCAGTCTGGGCGAAGATGTGGATCCTGCCGAAGGTGCTCTGTGGTGTTGCTATTGTGGTGGGCTATGTGGCTTTCTTGGGAAAGACACCTTTGACCCAGGTAGGTGAGGGTCTGTTGTTCAAAGGACCTCCCTCCCTCCCTGAAAAATGTAGTCTGTGGATAGACTTGAGCACGTGATTTTAAAAACACGTAAACCTGCTCGAATGAGTGATGCCTTAATCCTAAGAGGCCTGACCAGGCCCAAGCCACTTCTGCTCCAGCATTCTGTTTACAGAACGGTCAGCCGGGTGCCCACAGGAACCCGTGCAGCAAACTCCCCTTCCCACGTTCCCCAGCAACTGCCTCTGCCCCTGGAGGAAGCACAGAGCCTTCTCCTCCATGGATCTGTCAAATCCTCTCTTAAGACCATCCAGATGGGCAACCACCCCTGTGAATTGTGCATAAGAAACTCCTTGCCCTTGTAGAAGGGATGGACATAAGCAAAGCCCTGTGGAACCATCCATGGCCCAACAGGTGCAACTCTCTGTTCAGATGGAGGCCCACCAGCAGCCCACAGGAGATCCACAAGCAAGGGCAGTCAAGCACTGCAGGAGAAAAGGCGTAAAGAAGAATACCTTGAATGGTTGCTGTTGATGTAGACCAGGGGTCCTCAAACTTTTTCAATAGGGGGCTGGTTGAAAGGCTGTGGTGACTGTCGTGGGCCGGTGAGGTGGCATCAGACACACACGAGGTGGTGTTGGACGTGCACAGTGGCAGCTCGCTCGCTCAGAGGTCTCCCAGCGAGTCCAAAACCATCTCCGAGTGAGCAAGCCACCGCCTCTCCGCCCGCGCAGCAAGCGTGTGCGTGGACAGCGAGCAGCGGTGTGGGCCGGATGGATGGCCATGGCAGGCCAGATACGTCCCACGGGCTGTTGTTTGAGGAGCCATTATGTAGACCATCATTGTTCACTTGGGTCCCCTTCCTTCCACCTCACCCAGCTCTCATATGTTGCCTCTTAGTCTCTCTCTCTCCTTCATGGATCACTGCCTTGCCGTGGTGAAGGGGCTTGCGTAGCGCAATGAAGCTATGAGCTCTGCCGTGCAGGGCCACCCAAGACGGACAGTTCATAGCAGAGAGCTCTGACAAAAGCTGATCCACTGGAGAAGGAAATGGCAACCCACTCCAGTACCCTTGCCATGAAAACCCCATGGACAGTACCGAAAGGCAAAAAGATATGATGCCAGAAGATAAGCCCCTCAGGTCGGAAGGTGTCCAATATGCTACTGGGGAAGAGCAGAGGGCTAGTACTAGTAGCGCCAGAAAGAAGGAAGCGACTGGATCAAAGCCAAAAGTGCACTCAGTTGCGGATGTATCTGGTGGTGAAAGGAGAGTCTGATGCTGCAAAGATCTGTACCCCACAGGAACCTGGAATGTAAGATCTATAAATCAAGGCAAGCTGATTGTGGTCAAACAAGAGATGACAAGACTGAACATCGAGAGGAAAGAAGTATGGCATTGGAATGATACAGACATGATTAACAAACCTCCGTTATCACTCTGGTAATTGCCTGGTCATGGGCCATGGGGCTCAATCTAAGCTCTGTAGGAGCTGAGATAGATTGCTTGGCAAATCCCCCAGATGATGTGGAACTGGCAATTCCACATTTATTGGGAAGAAATCAAGTTTTCTCAGCTGAGTATTACCGGAGGGAGTGCTGCCCTCTACAAATTCTCAACATGCTACCTTTTTTTAAGTTTTGTTTTAGCTTCTGTGAACACACCGGATCTATTGGAATGTATTTTTGTTTCTTTTCTCTGCAATGATACCCGTGGAATAAGCTGTATTTTTTGCTTATTAAAAAGCCCTTCGGAAACCTCCCCCCCCCCCCCCGGAGTTGAAAAGCATCAAATTGTATAACCGAGAGAAAGATAGAACTTTTTGTAAGTAAGGAAAAGATTTATCTTCTTTTATCTCTCCAAGGGCAAATAATTGTGCTGTGGAATTGAGTAATAGAGGATCTTTCTTCTAAACGTCTGTGCTGGACTTCTGCCAAGAATTGGCAACCATTTTTCTCTTTGTTCTGGGGATCTTTGGACACCTGCCAAGCCTTGCTAATATATTGCTACTATGGAAGAAATTCAGAAGGCATTTTTCAAAATACAGGCTTCTTTAACAGCTGTACAACTATCCCAGCAGGCGATAATAATACAACAGAAGATTGTTCTAGAATGCCTTGATTGTTTTTCAACTGAACAAAAAAGTGGCTTTGATAAATTAAGCACTTCTATTGATCAGGCTTTAGATAAGCAACTCACACCTGAACAGAATATGCAAAATATCCAACAAGGAGAAGGAAAATCTGAAACTGGAAAGAAAATAAGTGCAACTGTTCTGCGTGCTATGATGGAAGAGGGTAAGACAGCTTGGCTACAACTCAGGACACAGACATTACGAAGCAAACTTTCATGGGATCTACGTGTCATCTTAGAGAAGGACAATTTAGCTGACTACTTAAAAGAGGTTATGTTTATGTGGCTGCAACTGAAGACTCCATTACAGACATTACGGTGGCTTAATGGGAAAAAAACAGAAAGGTCTGATAGAGGGGTAAAGAAAAAGTAAACTTGGCAGGGGTACAAAGGGAAGATACGGGAAATTTCTTTCTATTCCAAAAAAAAAAAAAAAAAAGGTGAATTATATAGCTTGATATGCTTACATGAGATGTAGAAAGGCTAAGCTATTATTGCTGGTGAAATAGTAGCAATTTAGCTTAATGAAATCCTGTTTAAAAGGTATTATTGATAAATGGCTATTTTTGACTGTATTTCTAATAAGTTTTTGTTATTGATGATATATGTTAGACTGTAAACACCTGGCTTTTATAAGGAGCTCACCATATTTGATTCAATGGTGTTTAAGTAAGATGAAACATTAGTAATTTAGCTTAAAGAAAAATGTTCTAAAAGATATTATAAGTCTTACTCATCACCAAGTAGAGTAGTTAAGACAATTGTAGAGATGTTAAATGGATATTTTTGATGTTTAGGTGTAATTGTGATAGTGAGGAAGTTATTTACTATTAGAAAATTGAAAAGATTTTGAACTATTCATAAATGTTTAGATCAAACTTACCATTGAAGGAGAAAGAAAATATTTCAATTTCATTTAATTTGGAGATGCTTCCCTTTGACATTGCTTAAGAGAAACAGGACTTGGTAGGAAATAATGAGACTAATTTCATGGATGAAGAAGAGGAAGATAGTGACTTCTATCAAATTAGGATTATCATCATTTTATTGGCTGGAGAAACAGGTCCTGGTTTTGATCCAACAATGCTTTCAAGTTATTATAAATGGATTCTAGTATGATCATAGAATGTTAAAAGATATGTAGTAGGGGGCTGATCCAGTAAATCCAGTGTGTACGATGATTGTTTGTAGTTTTAGTTTTAAAATCCTAATAAAAATTTCTATGGAAAAAAAGACTGAACATCGACATCTTAGGAATCAGTGAACTAAAATGGACAGGAATGGGTGAATTTAATTCAGATGACCATCAGGTATACTACTGGGGGCAAGAATCCCTCAGAAGAAATGGAGTAGCCTTCATAGTCAATAAAAGAGTAGGAAAAGCAGTACTGGGATACAATCTCCAAAATGACAGAATGATCTCAGTTTGAATCCAAGGCAAACCATTCAACATCACAACGGTCCAAGTCTATGCCCCAACCACTGGTGCTGAAGAGGCTGAAGTTGACCAGTTCTATGAAGGCCTCCAGCACCTTCTAGAATTAACACCAAAAATGATGTCATCATGGGGGACTGGAATGCTAAAGTAGGAAGCCAAAAGATAACCAGAATAACAGGCAAGTTTGGCCTTGCAGTACAAAATGAAGCAGGGCACAGGCTGGTAGAATTTTGTTAAGAGAATACGATGGTCATAGCAAACACTTTTTTCCAACAACCCAAGACCAGAGATCTCTTCAAGAATTGGAGATATGAAGGGAATGTTTTATGCAAAGATGGGCATGCTAAAGGAGCAAAATGGCAGGGACCTAACAGAGGCAGAAGAGATGGCAAGATTATACAGAAGAACTATACAAGAAAGAGCTTAATGTCCCTGATAACCACGATGGGGTGGTCACTGACCTTGAGCCAGACATCCTGGAATGTGAAGTCAAATGGGCCTTAGGAAGTCTGAGCAACAACAAAGCAAGTGGAGGTGACAATATTGCAGCTGAGCTGTTCAAAATCTTAAAAGACGATGCAGTAAAAGTGCTACACTCAATATGCCAGCAAACTTGGAAAACTCAACAGTGGCCACAGGATTGGAAAAGATCAGTTTACATTCCAATCCCAAAGAAGGGCAATGCCAGGGAATGTTCAAACTACCGCACCATTGCACTCATTTCACATGCTAGCAAAGTTATGCGCAAAATCCTTCAAGCTAGGCTCCAGCAGTATGTGGACTGAGAACTACCAGAAGTACAGGCAGGATTTCGAAGAGGGAGGGGAACTAGAGATCAAATTGCCAACATACCCTGGATCATGGAGAAAGCTAGGGAGTTCCAGAAAAACATCTACTTCTGCTTCATTGACTATGCTAAAGCCTTTGATTGTGTGGATCACAACAAATTGTGGCAAGTTCTTCAAGAGATGGGAGTACCAGACCACCTTTTTTGCCTCTTGAGAAACCTATATGCGGGTCAAGAAGCAACAGTGAGAACTGGGCACAGAACCACTGATTGGTTCAAAATTGAGAAAGGAGTTTGGCAAGGCTGTACACTGTCACCCTACCTATTTAACTTATATGCAGAGCACATCATGAGAAAGGCGGGGCTAGATGAATCACAAGTTGGAATTAAGATTGCTGGGAGAAATATTTACAGCCTCACATATGCAGATGATACCACTCTAATGGCAGAAAGTGAAGAGGAACTAAAGAGCCTCTTGATGCGGGTGAAGGAGGAGAGCGCAAAAGTTGGCTTGAAACTCAACATTAAGAAAACTAAGATCATGGCATCAGGTTCTCTCACTTCCTGGCAAATAGATGGGGAAGAAATGGATGTAGTGACAGATTTTATTTTCCTGGGCTCCAAGATCACTGCAGATGGGGACTGCAGCCAAGAAATTAAAAGACGCTTGCTCCTGGGGAGGAAAACTATGGCAAATCTAGATAGCATACAAAGAAGCAGAGACATCACCCTGCCCACAAATGTGAGAATAGTCAAGGCTATGGTTTTCCCAGTTGCAATGTATGGCTATGAAAGCTGGATCATAAGGAAGGCTGAAGAATTGAGGCCTTTGGATTGTGGTGCTGAAGGAGACGCCTGCGAGTCCCCTGGACCGCAAGGTGATCAAACTGGTCAGTCCTAGAGGAGATCAACCCTTACTGCTCTTTAAAGGTCAGATCCTGAGGATGAAACTCAAATACTTTGGCCACCTAATGAGAAGGAAGGACTCCCTGGAGAAGAGCCTATTGCTGGGAACAATAGATGGCAAAAGAAGGAGGGGATGGCAGAGGATGAGGTGGCTGGATGGAGTCACTGAGGCAGTTGGTGTGAGCTTAGGTGGACTCTGGGGGATGGTGGAGGACAGGAAAGCCTGGAGGAATGTTGTCCATGGGGTCACGATGGGTCGGACACAACTTCACGACCAACAACAACAATTCTCTCTCTGTCTCTGCCACTTAGACACCCTTGCTGGTGCTCGGGTTCTCATCACTGGGGTCAGCTGTGGGATCGGGGAACAGGTGCCATATCACTATGCCAGGTTTCAGGCCCAGATTGTCCTGACAGCAAGGAGGGAGACCTTGCTGCAGAAGTTAAGCTGGACATTGCTTTCGAAGCACCAGTGGATGCGTTTGGACTTGGTGACTGGTGAATGGGCATGGCTTACCTTGAGAAAACAGTGGGAAGATAGGGTACCACCATTACGTATGCACTGCAAACATGTGAAAGGCTGTCTCACGGGCGGGCCAGGATTGCTTCTTGATCACCCCCAAGTGCAGGACACAGAATAAGGGGCTCAAGCCACAGGAAACCAGGTCCTGGCTGGACATCAGGAAGAACTTCCTGACTGTGAGAGCAGTGCAGCAATGGAACCAAAGACATGGGGAGGTGGTGGGCCTTCACTGGAGGCCTTCAAGGTGCAGCTGGACCACCATGTGAGAAGGATGGTCTAGCTCGGAGTCCTGCACTGAGTAGAGGTTGGCCTCCATGGTCTCATGGGTCCCTTCTAGCTCTACTATTCTATGATGCTGTGAATGATGGGTTAAGTAGTGGGAAGGAGCTTGGTTGGGTCTGGCCACTTGGTTGATGGCAAGCCATTTGCACTGGACCATGTGCTGGCAATACCGTGCCACAGTAGTTTGGAAAGACTAGAGTGCCCATCTAATGTGTTTCCTCCTGAACCTGTTAGACTACAACTCCCATTAGGCCCCAGTTGCAGCACCAGGTTGGGGAGGTCTGCATTTCATAAATGCTGCCCAAACAGGACTTCTGCATTCTGGGTAGCAAACGCAGTGAGAGGAGGACAAGGGGCGCTGCATCCCAACTTGCCTGCCACTTCCCAAGGCTGACCTATGTTGGAAACTGTGAACTCATCTAGATGCAGGTTTGGTCTGATCCAGCAGGGCCCTTTTCATGCCCGTAAGTTCCCTTTCTGGGATTGTAGTGCTGTGTGTGCATGCAAAATTGCATGGAATGGTCACATGGCTCCATGGAAAATCCATGGATGTACAGAAGTAGCCTGTCAAGGGGGAGGCTAGGCTTTGCTGGCCTGGGGACCTTCCAGCAATCCATTGGCTCAGCATGGGAACATGTTCTTGCAGCGGTGTAGCGAGTTGTCCATGCAGTGTAAGCATGCCTAGAATTTCACTTTTTGCTGTATATATTTTTAGAAGGTATGAGTTCTTTAATTTTTCATTCTCTTTTGTTGAGAAAGTTTTTTCTTTTCTTTCCTCTGACAAGGTGATGGAGAAATTCCTGAAGCTTGGAGCCAAGAAAGTCTTCTGCTTCCCCGCTGACATGGCTTCTCCAGAAGAACCCAAAAAGCTAGTTCAGTTCACATTGGAACACCTGGGTTAGTATCTGAAAAGTGAAATGTTGCAGCAAAACATTGCATTTTAGGGCTTCTTTTAGGGTGCCAGCCAGTTCTTTCGTTCTCCAGAATATGTCATTGCTGCTCCCACCCATTCTACTACATTTCCCATTCTGTGTTTTCCAACAGGGGGCAGCATTCTAAACATTGTTTAGGTCACGACCCTTATGCATATTTACAGGGAAAAAATCCTGAGTCCTTAAAGCATTTATTATATTTTAATTCACCCAATAGCTAAAAAGCTCAGAGTGGATTACAGGAATTTACAAGAGAGCAATACAGTACAATACAATACAAATGCAGAAAAATCTAATGGATTAAAGTACAATATAACATGTTCTACAGATGGACATGTTAACATATACAAAGCAAACAGTGCAGAAACAAACCTAAAATATATGAAGACAGCCTTAAAAGCACCCCACCTTTAAAAAAACACCCTTTAAAATAACTGAGAGAAAAGAAAAACCATTCCTGGTGCCAAAAAGGTAATCATGAAGGTGTCAGGTGAGTGTTCTTGGATGGCTGCTCCCTAGATGGGAGCCATGACAAAGAAATTCCTCTTTCTTGTTGCCACTCACCTGCTGTCTTCCAATGGGGCACTTGATTCTCATTGGGCTGCTTGGCTTTTCCCACACTGTAAGTGTGTTTCTGCTCTTTTTGTCCTTTCTGCTAGACAAAACCAAGCACTCATAAAATACAGGGCGTTGTGGGAGCTTAAGAGCTTCTGCAGAGACAAGGCATTTTCTCTGAGAGCTTTAAGTTGCATAAATCAAAGCGGCAATCCTTCTGAGCTTCTGCCCATGTGAAGAGTTGATTCCAGTCTGGAACAGCCCCTTCCTTCCTTTTCCCAGACTCTTCAGGTGGTGTGTGCAAATCCTGGGAAAGCTTCATTGAGTTCCATAGTCAGCCCACCATTTGGCCTGGCACTTCCTCACTGTCTAGAATTCATTTTCTTCGCCTTCTTGTTCTGTAGTGTCTCCTGCGAACCCAAGGTGGTTTGATGCTCAGCCACTGCCTGATTTTGTTTGTTTGTTTGTTCATTTATTTTTGGGAACTATAAACCATACCAGTTGTCTTAATTACGGTCCTGTGAAATTTTGCTGCTAACGCTGACTTTCAGAGTCACATGCCAACTCTTCCCCTTCCAACCTGTTTATCCCACATTCCAAATCCAAGCTGCCTGGCTGGGGAAGCTGTCTAACCGTCCATCAAATACGTACTTCACATCAGACAGTCATCAGTTTAGAGAAGTGCATTACTTCCCAGAAATTTTTATAGTTTTGCATTTTTCTAGAAACCCACATTCCCTCCTTATACTGGGCAAAACTGAGCAGCCACCTGATGTTGTGTACTGGTTCACACATAGTGCTATGCCATAGTGTGGTTTGTTGAAAAGCACTGGCTTGTGATTGGGCCAGTTTTCATGGAAGTGAGGCAAACTGTAGGTGAATTATGCCACAATTTGCTATACATGAGAAATGTACATAAATTGCCTCTGGGCTTCAGATATGACCTATGAACACCCAACTTGTAAGGTGTTGGTATGGTGTATGTTGTCTGAACCTGAACACTTTGGGTTGTATGGGGTTAAACAACCCAAAGTTAACCTACAATTTCTAATTTAACTAGTAAGTGTTTGGATTCAGACATTATACTATCATAAACCATGACTTTCTGTTAGACACGTGTGTACCTGGGATGGGATGGTCTTATGTCTTTGTACATTTTTTCTGCATTTAGGGGGCTTGGATTATGTGGTTCTCAACCACATTGGCTGGATTCCTTTTGCAGTGTGGGATGGAGATGTGGACCACATACGTGGGCTAATGCAGGTACAGTCTGGTGCAGTTCTCTAGTTCTGCTTCACAGGATCTCTCCCCGTTTTCATTCAGAGCCAGAACCAGGATTCTGTGGTGCTGACGGGGGAGTGAGGGGTGGTTGCTGCCAGTGAATTAAAACCTGGCACTGCTTGGAACAGAAGGGAGCTGACAGTCTGCTCAGCACAAGCAAGCCATGCTTCTCGGTGTTGCCCACCCTTGGTCCGAACTGCATTCCATTTCCATATTTCTTATCCAATTTTCTTCTGGGACTGTTGCACGTGCTCAGCCCTTATCGGACACTGGCTTCAGAATGGTGGCCTTAAGTTTGATTCTCTAAGAAAAGCACTTCCGTCAGCCTCCTAGTCCCCCCATGTGCTTAATCTTCTTTTCCAGTCGCACTCTTTTGGCCACACTTCGGTTGGCACTCCCCACCTGTGTTTGACCGGACAGGGAGCATCAGCATCTGCAGGTGCTTCATGTTGGCTGCAAGAGGGTGGCCTCTGCTTTTGCCCTGCCCTCCACAGGGTCCCACCTGTGGCTTCCTAAGTGCTCTTTTCCTTCCAGGTAAACTTCCTTAGCTACGTGACTTCAGCTGCTGCTGCTCTGCCTGCCTTGACAGAGAGCAAAGGATCACTCCTCGTTGTCTCCTCCCTTTTAGGTGAGTGGCCTGCAGGTTTATGGCTTGCAGCTGCTGCAGGAGGAGCTTTGGACAGAGTGGCAAGTTCTGGTAGAAAGTGGATGACCCTTTTTATTTCAAGTAGTACACATCAAAGAAGAACCATCTCTGTCCCCACAACAGGGAGAATCCCCAACGCTGAGTTTTGTGTGGCTTGTTGGGCAAGAAAATGCAAACACTGTGTTGGGGGGTGGGGTGGGGGTGGTGAACTGGCTTCCTTGGGCCCTTGCACAATACTCTGGCCTGCCTGCCCAGCCAGGAACATTTTGGTTCCACATGGGGAGTGGTATTTATTTATTTATTTATTTATTATATTTATTTTCTCCTCCCCTTTTTTTCCCATGGTGGAACTCAAGAGGGCAACATGTGGTTCCCAGGTGGTCTCTCCTCCAAGCTCAGGCCAGTCCCGGACATGCTTAGCTTCAACAGGGTGTCTTAATATCATACTCTGTACATCCTACTATGGTGTTGCATGATGCTCTGAGCCTGCTGTGAAAACCTCCCTGTACACCAGGATCGTTTCCATGACTTTCTAGAATTGCCACTACAGTTGAAACATCCGCTTATCTAAATGGCACACAAGGTAGGAAATCTGTCCAAGCAAGAAAGAGACAAAGTTTCAGAAGGATAAGTACAAACAGCAAAGCCCCCAAAATTTTCAGGAGATCCCTCAGATAACAATGGTCTTTTCACTGGGATGGTTTGGATAAATCTTTTCCCCACAAGATGTGCTAACGGCAGACAAGCCACTCAATTCACCAGCAAGACTGTTCTCTGGACAGGTCAGCTGTGTGGTTTGCTGTGTTCTCCCTCATGCTGTGGGGATTTTATTTAGAGGACTTATGTTCCATCGTTCAACAAAAACATTTTCAGAACAGTGGCGAAGGATACACTTGGGTTCCTGCATTATTTCTTGTCCAAGCCAACACTTGCAGGAAGGGTGTCTTGGGTGGAGAAAGGGTAGAGTGGGGAATACCATCACCCTCCTGTTAGGGGCACTGTTTAAAAAGCTGCTGGATTTCCTTGTTCCTTACCAACACAGTTGCTTTCAGTGCCGCCAGACTTCAATATGAAAATATCATTTGAGCTTTTTAAGAGAGAAGCAGCACTGGAAAGAAGTTTGCCATGCTTTTGAAAAAAGATATGTGGCCCCTGAGGAAAGAGTTCCCTTTCCAAAACATCCCAGACATAATAACTTGTTTTTTTCAGACACTCCAGACAATGTTTACATCACTTTTGGGACACTGAAGTACCTTTTCCTTGCTTCCTCACTGAAGGAATGGTCATCCCTCGAAACTGGAAAGCCATCTGAGTGAGATGATGTAAACTGGTGACCTACAGCAGCAGCGGATGGGACCTCATGGCCCCTTCCAGCTCCACTATGATTCTATGATCCCATCTGTCCCATTTCCAAAGTGCCGTGGTTAGAGATCCCTTAGTAACATACATCTTATAGTTAAGAGCCCAATCTATCAGTCTCTCAGCCCTATTTCCTTCCTGCCTCACACACTATCAGCGTTTAAGAAAAATGAAAATAAAAGATCCCAGTTTCATCCCTTTCCTAAACACGAATGGAACCTTAGTCAGGGTCCAGTTCTTTCAGTTCTGATGTTGTCATGGTGTAATTTCAGTTCCATTGTTTATCTTACTGGTCTCCTGCTGTTCTTCTCCCATACTGATGGGAATTCTTTATTGAATGGACATCTCCCAAATATTAATTTCTTTGTTTGACACTGCTTGGTGTATGTGAGTTTCAATTGTTTCATAGGGACCGGCATTTCCAATGAAAACTTTCATTGGTCCCAAGTAATTATGCCAAGTAATTGCCAAATTATGGCAATTCAGGTCCAACTCCAGAATTGTTATTTCAATTAAAGATTGAAATGATTTTTGCAGAGATGCAACCAACTTTGTCAGAGATGAGTCCAGCAACCTTTTCTTCTAAAGATGAAATTAGAAACTTGCTTTAAAAAAATAAAGGGATGAACCCTGAAAGCTGGATGTCTTGTTACAGAAAGAATTGCAACCCCTTTCATGACCACCTACTCTGCCACCAAGTTTGCCCTGGAAGGCTTCTTCGGGTCCTTTTGCCATGAGCTGGCCATGAAGAAGAAGGATGTGAGCATGACCCTCTACATCCTTGGATTAACTGACATGGAGTTATCCTTGAATAAGACGAGGTGAGTGCAGCCAAGGCGAACTGAAGCTTTAAACGGCTGTGAGGGAGGTCAACACTTCCTTGGATCGACTGGAGCATGTTCAGAGAGGTCTCCCTGAACGCTCTTGTGTGTTGCGAAGGTCAAAAGCTGGGTATGTTTTGCCTGGGGAAGCAAAGACCACAGAAGCCCATGAGAGGGGCCTTCCATAGTCTGCTGTGCTCAGGGTCGACCAGGCTTGTTCTTTCTGGCTGCAGGGGTTGGTACTCAGGTGGAAGCTGCAGGGAAGGAGAGTTTGCCTAATACTAGGAGAAACTTCCTAACAGGGAGAGTGGCTGGGCAGTAGAATAGAACTCTTCTTTGCTGGAGGTATTGAACCGGATGATGAATGGCCGGCACTACGTCCTACACTGAGGCAGGAGGTGGTCCAGATGACCCCATGGCCATTTCCAGCAGTACAGTCTAGCATGGCTGCTGGGACAGATTCCTCAACTCTAGAAACAGCAGAGTTTCTGCAATCTCCTTGGAGGCAGAGAAGTTTCTCTTTTTTTCCTTCTTTGTTAATCCACAAAGTGCCACGCTTAGCCATAGGCTTTCCCTTTCTCTTCCAGGGATGTGACTCTGACAGCTGCCCCTGCTTCCAAGGCAGCCTTGGCCATTGTGAAGGGAGGGTCCACCAGGGCCAGAGAGGTCTTCTACCCTTGGACAATCCAGATGTTGTGTTGGATTTGAGATTGGTTCCCAGCACAACGGGACATGATTCTACACAGCATGTATAACTACGAACCATCTAGTATCTAGACCAACTTTTGCAGCCTGGGGTTTCAACTTCATGGATGGAGACAATGGGAGCTGGAAGTTTCAGGGTGGGGAAGCCTGGTCTAAATGGGGGTTGCCCAGAAATACAGAGGATCTCCAGATGTTTTAGAACAGCTCCCAGTATCCCTGACCTTATTGACAGGGGCTTCTGGGAGTGGAAGCCCAAAGTACCTGGAGATCTACCTGCTGCCCATGTGTGGCCTAAATTATATATTCCTTCCAAGGTATTGAGTTTCATTCCTGTTGACAAAACTTGTGCACAAGTGCTGTTTGCAGTCCTAAATGGACAGAAAGCCTTGGCTATTGGGTGGTATAAGAATGAAAAACAAAAGTGGAAATGCAATTCTCAGGAAATTTCCAGTGTGTCAAACCTGTGGTCACTTTCAGAAATGTGCAGATGTGCTAAGGGCACAGTTCTGAAATGCTGCAGAGGTGCATTTCCCATGTGTGTCTTCATGTTCTAACCTATGTGGGAAAACAGGTGTTTTCCCTTGGCAAAACTGCACATTAGAAATAAATAAAATTTAAATACAAATGTGTGCTTTGTCATTTGGGGGAAGTGATGCTTGAACTTGGGAACACAAGGTGAGATGAGCATGTAGAAATACAGATTTAATTTAGTGCAGAGCAGGGATTTTAGCAACCCTGAAAGGCCTCCGCAGTGCCCAATTCCCTCCTTCTTCAGCCTCATTTTGCCCCTTGGACGCAAAGACCAGCCTGTGGCACAATTACAACTGGGCTTCTCCCTTTGCTACCGAGGGGCCGCTTACACTGTCCACATCACTCATCATGCACAGGGCCAACCCTCTGGGGTGCAACTTTAGAGGCGCCTGGACGTGCTTCCCAGTCTTGGAAGAGATGCATAGGCTGGGTTGCAATTCACATCATTGCCAGCCAGAATAACCAGTGGTCATATCGGTCAGGGATGATGGGAGTTGAGTCCCAAAACTCCTGAAGAACAGATAGCCTCCGTGTTAGAGTTGGGTCAAATCCAGGAACAGCGCCAGCATACAACTAGAACATCAGTCTGGGACGGGCAGAGGAAGGTCTCTGCTGTTTGACTCCTGAGATGAAATTTGGGTTTAGGGGGTAGTGAGGGCACCGGCCTAGCCAAAGAAAACTGCTCCAAAGTTTTCAGGGGATCCCTCAGATGACAAAGTTCTTCTCAGATGGACCATCTGGACAGATCTTGTCCCCACACAATGTGATAACTGGACAGACAGATCATTTCACCCAGCAATAACTGATTAGTTGCCTCCACACTGCAATAATGCAGTTTGACTCCTTCCTTTCCTCAATGCCCATTGGTGTTAAAGGACTTGGCACAAGCCACTCCCTCTTGGAATTGGGTCCTGCGATCAACACAGGCCTACAGCAGAACTTGATGGGCTGAAGACAAGTCCAGGTGGCCCACAGAGAAGCAAAGAGTGATGCGAAGCTGCTTTTCTCTCCAAAACGCCAAGGGAGCCAGGCGGTTTTTTATGTACCCTTGAATTATCCACATGGCCCTAATTTCCCAGTGGATGTCCACCCAGAAAGTCAGCAACAAAGGCATCCTGGAGAAAACATCCTCCATGTATATTTGTCAGGAGGCGGTCAGTGTGGGGCTGGCCCAGTGCCTGCTTCTTCCATGTTGGGGCAATTTTGCAGAGATCAAATTCCCCAGCCAGGGCCTGTGTGCTCAGACCGGTGGTATCCCAATGCTTTTCTTCCTGCTAATTTGCATCCTCCCTCTGGCTGCCCAGAGGATGTTGACGGGCACCTGAGTCTTGACCAGGCCTCGCTCGATGAGGGGCACGCACGGGCAAGGGGATGTTACTGTTGGGAATTTACCACTCAGCAGCTTCTTCGAAATGAAGACACATGACTTTCACAGGTTCCCTGTCTCGGGGCTCTCTGGCCGACTGGTGTAAGTTTCCCCGCAGCAGCCGCTTGCCTGCTTCGATTCAGGTTAGGGTTCTGGGGATGCATCTGCAGCAGTGCAGGCATTAAAAAGCTCCTTGTTGCATATTTGAGTCTCAGAGGACTGTCACGACTGGGCTTCCACATAGTGATAAAAGCTAAAGACTGGAGGGGTATTCTCCAGTTTGATTCTGTGGGGTTTTGTGCATGGAGCAGAGGTGGAGCTGACCCAACACTTGGTTTCATGTTCACGGTGTGGGTATCCTTGGCCCAGGCACAAACTGCATCTAGGATGGGGGTAGGTAGGTCTGGATACCCTGGGAGATCTCCTGGCATTCTGCGGTGGATTTGCATGTCTGTAATAGCAGCAAGAAATGGCTCTGCCAGGCTTCTCAGCTGAGAAATGCAAGGGAGATGCTGCCAGTTTGAGGCCAGCCTGCTCCTGTTTGGCTACCCAGCCCAGAACTGGGAATGCCAGGATGGGAACCCGTGGAGCATTCCCACAGCAGGTGCATCAGACATGTTGCAGTGTGTAGGGGAGATTCAGAAATGTGCAGAAACGGTGCTTTTGCAGCAGCAGAAAAAGGTTCTGATCACCCAAGAATGAAATAATTCAGAGCTACTCAAGAGCACTTTATTTATTTATTTATAAAATTTATATGCTGTCCCAATATTAACAGTCTCTGGGCAGCTTACAAAAAATAGAAAAACCAAAAACAAAGCAATCATAACGACAACAGACAGCACACTGCATCCGATAGATAATGACAAAAACAAGGATAAAACCAATTAACTGTTAAAATGTTAGGAGAATAACTGCGAGAATTTGTTCATTGCAACAATTCAGTTTTCACGAAATACTCAAACATGCTGAAGTAAAATGAATTCCCTCCTCTCTCCAAGGCCAAAACCAAGGCAGGGAAGCAAGAAGAACCTTTGTACTTGGTGGACCTTGCAGTCTCGTCCACCTGCATGTGTAAAGTATTTCACAAGCACAACTGCAGGCTGGCCTCATGCTTAAGCCCATGCATCAATTGGTATCACCTGACCAACAGGGTAAGCTAAATATGTCAGGACTTAAAGATTCAGCAACTGTGGTCTGGATGCTCTGTAAAGGAAGCAAACACTGACTGATCAACCCAGAAAAACTTCTCCTCCTTCATCCAGCTCAGTCTCTCCTGAACTGGGGGCCCAGAGCTTTTCTACCCTTTCCTACCTAGAAAAGATGCTGGGGATTGAACCTCCTGCCTTCTATGTCCAAACAGCAGTTTGGACACAGTTGCTATTTGGCTAGAAGTAAAGCAAGTTGCTAGCCCTCATGGTCCTAAATAAGGCTGCTGCAAACACGGACACTAGGAGCTCTGAAAAGCAGATCTATCTCCCAGAGGCTCCATGATGGTGAAGCAGGTTCTCTCCCTCCCTCCCTTGATTATCTGCATATACCATGGACTAATCCTGGGTACCTGCTTTTTACAGCAGTCACTCAATTATTTCTCTCTGATCTTTCCTTTAGGTATAATACAAGTCTCTGGTCCTCATGGTCCTGGGACCTGCTTCTTACAGCAGGCACCCAATCATTTCTCTCTGATCTTTCCTTTAGGTATAAAACAAGTCTCTGGTCCTCGTGGTTCTGAAAAAATGGCTGACTGAAGCAGGAGCTGCTCTAACCCATGACCTGGCATGGATAACATAATTAATCATTTTAAAAAGAAATGTTACAGCCTCAGATCTCTACCCACAGGAGGTCTTCAGGTGTTCCTAGGATGGGCACCCAGCAAGGCTTCGAGTGTCCCTGTCCCAAAATAACAATCCAACTTCCACACAACTGTTTTGTTCCAGACAGAAGGGGGTCTTCTCTTCAGAGAGGGCCGAAGCAGATGGACCTTTAACCTCACCAGTTCTGCCAGACCTTTCACTCCAAATGTCTCACCCTTTCAGGAAGCTACCAGCACTTCCTGGCCTTAGAGTTTGCGGTCACTGAGCTCAACAGGGGATCCGGCTCCGCTGCCCAACTCGACGCTCGGCTTGTTGGAGCACAAGGGCTGCACATCAACAGCCTCTCCCTGCTTTCCAGTTGGGGGGAAATGGTTTCCAATTACGTGTGACAGGCGAGACGAACTGGTCTACATTTTTGGAGGTCTAAACGCCAGATTCTCAAGAGAGATTGCACATTTAATGGGCATCTACAAGATCCCACAGGTAAGGAGGTTCCCCTGGGGAGAGATGCTTGGGACTCCTGGAGCTCAGGAGCACCGAGACGGAAAAGCCAGATTCTGAGAACAGCTTTGTCCAAGCTTTTTTTCTGGAGCACAAAAAGAAGGGACCTTCCAATTTTGACTATGCTGCCATGGGGTTCCCTGGGTGGTCGCCAGGAATCTCAGGTGGAGGGCATGGGTCTGTTGGGCAAGAGGTGGCTTTGGATTGGGGAAATGTGATGCCAAGGCACAAGCACACACGGTGCCACAAGGCTCATTCCTACGGGGATTCGGGTGTTCTAGCTACACTGGGGAGATCTCAGCCGACCACAGCGTAACTCTTGTCTCTCATTAATGTTCGAGGCCATAAATATAGTATTTGGGCTCAGGGGCATAAAGGTAGTAAGTTGAACACTTTGTGGATATTAATTGTACTTGCACCTGATGCTTGTGCTTGGATCAGGACCCTGCTTCTGGGCCAAGTGCACACCGGAAGGCATCAAAGACAAGGGGCTGGTGACTCCCTTATCAGTGGGGCTTCTCATCCATCCCAGGTTCTCTTTTGAGCTTTAACTGTTGCTGTTATGTGCCATCAAGTTGTCTCCAACTCATGACAACCTATGAATGGAAGCTCTCAAAAATACCCTATCCATAAGCAGTACAGTTTGAACGGATTAGAAAATCTGTTGATGTATAGAATAATGATTTCTTTTTTGTCAACTCTCATGGAGTGTAAGAAGACAGGAAGAGAGTCAGTTTTGGAGGTTGCAATACATAGGCGGTATTTGTTTAAAATTCCTGTGGCAACTTTGTCTGTTTTGTTTACTTCAGGCTGTTCTGTTTATACTAGTTTTTTTCTTTCTACGTTTTCCTCTATGTAATTCTATATGCAAGATAAAAATTAAAAAAAGTCCTATCCATAGCTCCTGTAAATCCCACACTGTGGATCCCTTGATGGCATTAATCCTTTATAGGTGATCTCTTATTGGGGTTAATTTTGTCCACAACATATATTGACCACCATAGAGCATCTTGGATAGCTCCTTTAAAGATCCAAAGAAGAACCATACTGGATGGCGAGTCCCACTGACTTCTTGTAGGACTCACCAGCTTCTTCTGCTCAAAGACATTGCCGAACAGTGAACTTACATTGTGAGGATCCCAAGAGGAAAAAAGGTAGCTATCAGCTTTGGGATGTAAGCAGCAGGTGCCTACAGCTGAAGCAACAGGACCAGGGATGATGGAAGAAGATGGCGGTCCTGGTGGGATGCATCAGGGATGGGAAATCAAGTTTAAGTGAGGGTCAGATTCTGGCAAGGTGTGGGAGGGCCAGAAGCAAACCAGAGCGAGGACCAGGCAGGAGTCAAAACATGAATGCACTGCAGGATTGCAGGCAAGGACTGGATCAGGACCAAGAAGCAGCTTCTACAAAATTGTT